GTATTAGCACTGTCAGAAAATTAGAATGTGTGAAAGTAGTCATCTAATTTAGCAGCTGTCTTTGTACATCAAATTCAACTAACAACTGAGACAGGATACAACTCAGTGGGTAAGGGTTAAGGGCATATCTCAACTGACTCTGACTCTGACAAGGTCACGTGTGAGTACTTTTGTGCTGGGATTTCAACGTACAACCTTCCCGTCAGTAGATCAAAACCTTAACCATTGAGCCCACAAGTTTAACTTTAGTATTTACTGAATATATGTTCTTGTGAATAGAATAATCACTTGTACCAAAGGAACGAAAATGTCACTCACTATTTTTTTTTGCACTCCAATGCCCGGTCAATCAGGAAATCAGTCAGGTTTATGTAACCCTCTGCTTTTTCAGCCTATGAAAAACAATGGAAGAAGAGACGATGTATATAAATCCTTCTATTCTAGTACGTGAAGGAAATAAACGTCTTTTGCAATATTATTTATGTAATTTAGTTATGCTAATGGGTGCACTCACAATTTGGTTGGCGTACCAATACAGTGAGGTTTTCTTCAGAACAAACCAGTACTTCTTCCACTTAATGCCCAGGAACCCTTTCCCCTCGTTCTTTCTGTAGAGCCAGCCCTGGTGGTCCACTGGGTCCAGGTCCTTCACGGAAACCCTCCTCCTGCTCATTGCTGCACTGTCTGTTTAAAACAAATCCCTTTAAACACTGGTTTTATACATTAATATTACATAGCTGTGCAGGTTTTGCAACAGTGATTCCTGGCCTACCTCGAGTCTTCTTCTTAGATTTGTGCCTGAGGGACACCTAAAAATAGATGCCCATATTAACAGAGAAAGGAGACACAGTAATATATACGTTATACAGTACATTCAGAAAGTATTCAGACCCCTTCATTTTTTTTTTCACATTTTGTTACATTGCAGCCTTATGTGCTAAAATGCTTTAAATTATAATATTTTTCATATCAATGTACACTCCATACCCCAAAATGACAAAGCAAAAACCAGATCTGTGATAACTTTGCGAATATATTAAAAAGAAAAAAATGGAAATATCACATTGACATAAGTATTCAAACCATTTGCGATGACACTTGAAATTTAGCTCAGGTGCATTCCATTTCTCTGGATCATCTCTGAGACGTTTCTGCACTTTTATTGGAGTCCACCTATGTTGAGGCACAGATCTGGGGAAGACTACAAAATATTTCTGCTGCACTGAATGCTCCCAAGAGCACAGTGGCCTCCATAATTCTTAAATGGAAGAAGTTTGGAACAACCAGGACTCTTCCTAGAGCTGGCCGCCCAGCCAAACTGAGCAATCTGGGGAGAAGGGCCTCGGTAAGAGAGGTGACCAAGAATCCAATGGTCACTCAGTTTGAGCTCCAGAGATCATGTGTAGAGATCAGAGAAACTTGCAGAAGGTCAATCATCACTGCAACACTCCATTGATCTGGGCTTTATGGCTTTTATTTCCTCAGTGCAAGACACATGAAAGCATGAAATTCGATTATTTATTTATTTTTTTTGCAAATTCCAAGTGGGCTTTCATGTGTCTTGCACTGAGAAGTGGCTTCCATCTGGCCACTCTTCCATAAAGATAGACCAATGGTAGACCATTCTGCAAGTCTTTCCCATCTCCACACATGATCTCTGGAGCTCAAACTGAACAAACCGAGCAATCAGGGGAGAAGGGCCTTGGTAAGAGAGGTGACCAAGAACCTGATGGTCACTCTGGTTGAGCTCCAGAGATCATGTGTGGAGATACTCTAGGAAGAGTCCTGGCTGTTCCGAAGTTCTTCCATTTAAGACTTATGGAGGCCACTGTGCCCTTGGAAATCTTCAATGCAGCAGAAATGTTTTGTAGCCTTCCCCGGATCTGTGCCTTGACACCATCCTGTCTCTGAGCTCTGCAGTCAGTACCCTTTGACCTCATGGTTTGGTTTTTGCTCTGATGCATTTTCAGTTAGACCTTTATATAGACAGGTGTGTGCCTTTCCAAATCATGTCCAATAAATTGAATTTGCCACAGATGGACTCCAAACAAAATGTAGAATCATCTCAAACATAGTCCAGAGAAATGGGATGCACCTGAGCTAAATTTTAAGTGTCACAGCAAAGGGTCCGAATACTTATGTCAATGTCAATGTAATAAATTTGCAAAGTTATCACAAATCTGGCTTTTGCTTTGTCATTATGGGGTGTGCAGTGCAGATGTTGTTGAATGCACTGTATATCATCAGAACAACCACAGTACACATTCAAGACTTCTGGTACTGAGTACGTTTTTTTTTTGTTGGTACTGAGAAAACAATACTAAACAAGACGCATGAATAATGGTAGAGTACTTACAGGGTTGTATTCATCAACATCCATTCGAGGGGCTAGCGAGATGGGGAAAGAGGCCTGAAACATAACCACATTCAGCAACTTAACTGAAAGTAATGACAAATCTAAATCACAAAAACTACTAGTCAGTAAGATTAATCCACATGAACTGAAGAACTGAAATGTGAAACTCAGCTGAAACCTCAAACATACCTCTGTCAGGGAAGTGGTGGGAAGTGACATCACGTACAGACAGCTACACTGAAAAAACGCACTGCACGAACTACACTACACTAAAACAGGAGCGATTAACTAAGCTCTTTTTTATAAAATTTTTGCAGTTTTTAATTTGAAAAAAAAAAAGTCAGTGTTATTATACAACCAGTGTATCATACAGTTTTACAATGATCATGACAACTAAGTCTACTTCCTGAATGTGTATATGTACTTTTAAGGACTATGTCTATATTTAAGACATTGTTTCCCAACACTACCCTCAGACCTTTCTAGCTGGTTCATATTCTTTTTCTATAACTTCCCAATGCTGGTGAATTTGGAATGCTGAATTCATGGTTAAGGGTGTGACAGGAGATTGGGAGCCATCAAAATAAAGACTACTTTGCTTTCCTCAGGGATGAGTTGAGAAATATTAAAGAAAAGGCAAACATCTGAATCTTATCTAGCATACTAGGCTCGACAGGCTGAAATCGTTAATGCTACTGGAAAAATGCAAGCTAAATGAAGAGGGGTATTACTCAATTTCCTCAACTTGTTCCAGTTCCTCCTTTCTGGTCTAACATATAATTCAGTTCAAGGGTAAACAAGCGCTTCAGATCAGAATTAAACAATGATCTCATATGGCAGGTCTAATATGTTACTGCTGTAGCAAAACTCAGAGATTGAATGTTCTTAGCAGACACCACAGGATTTCAATATAGCGTTTCCTGAATAATGGTGAGGCGGTATATCAGAACACAAAACAAAAAAATAAATGGACTAATGGATATCTTACTCACATTAGGTAACCCAATTAACAGTAAATAATGTATATGGTTGATCTCTTATTGCTTCACAAGCACATTAATACTTATAGTATAATAGATTTATTTAAAAAAAAAAAATTTATTTAAAAAAAAAAAAAAATCCCCTACATTAACAGTGTTGTCAGTTACACCTGTTATCTGTTTAGTGTAAATCTAAACTATTCATTTATACACACACACACACACACACACACATATATATATATATATATATATATATATATATATATGTGTATACATATATATACACACACACATAAATAATAAATATATAAACTAATAAACTGCCAACTCAGGGTAACTAGGAAAAAAAACCATTCAGCTGACAATTATACTACAAAGAATGAGCCATTTAACTTATTGTATAAATGAAACAGGTTATTTGTATAAGTGAAGTACACTGCAGTTATGCCATGAATGATACATACGTTAAAAACAGCTGGAAACACCCCCAAAGTCCCAAATCCAAAGTGCCTCACCAGTGTCATAGCCGTTACTGTAGACTTACTTAGACTGGATGAAGGCGAGAAACCTTCAGTTTTGTCTCGATCCAACATTCTCCTCTAGCGGCGAGAAGTGACAAAATTTCAAACTCCACACACTTGTGAAAAGTTCTCCTTATGCCTGACGCAAAAACTAAAATGTCCGAATTACTCTTCCGGGCTTTTTCTCTCTTTTTTTTGTGTGCTTCATGAAATCAAGCACGCGCACCACACAACCACATCACACACAATGATCATCTTGGTACCATAACATGCGGTTAGGGACTGAGCCACGCAGAAAAAGAAGAAGAAGAACAAGAAAAAAGACTAAGCGTTATATTTAAGCTCCCATTTCCTTAGTCATTCAGTACCTACGGGTGTGTGACTGATAGTTAAACCCAGTGTTGACAGAAGAAAGAGGAACTGTGAAAGTGAAGTTCAGGTTTGGTCTCAGTGTGTGTGGCTTGAAAAAACGCCATGTTTCGCTCACACACAGCACGACACGTGGATTCACTCTTGGTTTTTCTCTTTCTTCCTTCCCAGTATATTTCCGTAACAGATATCCTACCTGGATCCGGCTTTTCAGTGATCGCAGCTTTGGGTTTAAACCTCTTTTTCTGGAACCATATATCCTGTAGACTGTTGGTGAATTTACAGAGCATGGCAACCACTGTCGGATGCACATATGTCTAAGACTACAGTGGAAGAAAGGGATTACCCAGAGCCTGCTGCTTATTGTATTCTAGTAATAAAATGACATAGCACGTATAGACCTCATGTAAAAGCTGGCAAACACGACTCCCAAAGCGTTAACTGGCATTTGAACGTGCTCACACACAACTGTAGTTCTGTGAATAGCCACTGGGTGTCGCCCTAATCACATTTTTAACGAGGAAAAAGAAGACGTGAGGTTTGCCCAGGGGAATAAAGGCAGGAGTGTGGTGTGGTTAACCACTGGTAAAAAAAAAAAAATCATTGCCACCCAAACTCTGATCCTTAAATCACAAATCTCTGAGAGGTCTATTTCTACTAACTAGTGCAGTAATTCAAGCAGACTTAATGAATTGTATCTCATGTAGAGTAAAAAGATTGTAATGTTAGTACTGTGACCAAATAATTTTGACTTAGTATTATAGAGCCGGGTGCTTAGAGGACTAGTGATTAGGCCTCGGCGCTCTCACCGCCATGGCCGGGGTTCAATTCCCCGGCCAGGGAACTGACCCCAACCACTGGGGTTGCACAAAACAGTGCACTTCCAGTGCCAGTCCCAAGCCCGGATAAAATTGAGGAGGGTTTCATGAGGAAAGGCATCTGGCGTAAAAACTGTGCCAAATCAAATATGCGGACCAGTGATCTGCTGTGGCGACTCCTAATGGGAGCATCCGAAAGAACAACAACAACATTAGGAACTACAGAGCCACTAGGAAGCCAGTACAGTATTCATTATTCGGCCATTCATTGTGAACCAATTAAAATTTAAGATAGGCAGCATGGTGGTGCAGTGGGTTGAGCTGCGCCCTCACAAGGTCCTCGGTTCAGTCCCGAGCTCAGGTTACTGTCTATGTGGAGTTTCTCCCATATCTGCACGGGTTTCCTCTGGGTTCTTCAGGTTCTTCCCACCTCCCAAAAAAGGGCTAGTAGGTTGGCTACACTTAAAGATTATTTAAATACGTGTGCATGGTGCCTTGCGATGGGCTGGCATCCCATCCAGGGTGTATTCCTGTCTCACACCCAATGTTCCTGGGATAGGTTCCAGATCCATTGCAACTCTGAACAGGATTAAGCAGTTACTGATAAGATAATAAAATATTCTGGAAAAGCAGCTTTGTTCTAGGCCATGTCTAAAAATCTGGACGCACCACTGAACTGAAGAGTCAAAAGTACACTTTATTTACATTCTTTAATAATCTCTGTACTTATCAGCAGACTGTTGGAGCTGTAGCCAAAACAATGTTCATAATGTTTGCACACACACACTATTAAAATGATTTACTGCTGATGATGACATATAGGCACTTCCTTCTTAGCTCCCTTCTTAAGTATCATAATGAGAAGTGAGGTCAGGTAGTACAATTATGGCCAAACACAAGCTAATCAAATCTGTTCACCTCTGGCCTGTTTTAAACCACAAATTCCTCAACTTGTTCTGTATGTGGATTTTTGTACAGTTTCATTTACATATTCACAGTATGAGTGAAGTCATTATACACTTCCCCATGCTGCTTTGGTCGATTTTATGGGAAGGTGGATTGGTCACACCAATGCAGAAAAAAGTCCTATCATGGTAATTTCACAGTGCTTAAAAAATTTTGCACCAGGGACAAAACACAGAAAGGCCATACTTTGTCTCTCCACGTGTGTGCCTTAGGTTGAACTAAAGATATCAGGTCATACTGTTGCAGTGTTTCATGGGATACCCTGCAGGTCATGGCTTCCTATGAGCCACTGTTTAACATAACCAATATGTTGCATGGCTTTATGAATTCTGGTGAATTCTTACTTCTTCTATATTACTTCTCCTGAGTGCTCAGATACAGCACATCCCTCTGAAGGAAAATAAGGAAATGTACAGAAATCCAACCATAACTTGCATTCTCAAACTGCACGCAGATACACATAGTACGAAGGTGGATCAATGACAGCTGTCGTCTCGCACAAGAGAACAGGGACACTTTTGTAGAGAAATGATATGTTGACTAGGATATCAGCTGAGTGTGGAAGAAAGCTTTAATACTCTGACATGGGATACAAATTGAGCTTCATATAGACTCAGACACAGTATTCATAGTTGGACAGTAACAGCATGTGTGTAGAAGTGGGGAGGGGACCGTGGGAAAGCGACTGAGAGGGTCTTGTGTGTTAAATGTTCATGTCACACACGGGGAATTCGAGCTCAACACCTGCCATGCTCTCAGAAGTTTTCACTCTAAATCACTTGAAATATTCTACATCTGTGAGAAAATGTACTTGTTTTAAGCTGTACAGTATAAGGTCTTCACAGCAGAAAAGGTCCAAGTTTGAATTCATAAATGTTTCGAGTAGTGAGAATTATCTGTGTTTAAACTATGCACTAGATACTAGAGATATGAGTAGGAAAAGAAAAGTATTATTAATAGTACTATTATCGTCATTATACAACTGTTTTGGGACCAAAAAAATGAACATGCCCAGGTATGCATAAAATATTTGAGGTATAAGAATATACCTCAGATATCTGCATGTCTCGGGTGTCTGCCATTGTCTCACTGTTAATGGTTTACAGTCCAGGATCAGACAGTTAGTATGACCTCTGAACTCTGACTACTGCTTTAGCTCATTCCCAATGTACTGCAGTTCACTCGACTGTGCGACAACAAAACTGATATATTCAAAACACAGAAAAAACGTGAAAGGCATCAAATGACTCCTCAGGGAACATACAGAGGAAAAGAGAGAGGTTCTTACCGCTTGAGAGAATGACCAGGCTCGCATTGCTGAGGTGCTGTACCTAATAAAGACAGGCCAGAAAATGCACTGCATATAAACAACAACGGAAATGTTTTAAAAAGGCTAAATCAACTGTTATCAGTTAAAGGTGCGTATATATAACACAGGGTTAAAATATATGCAAAGGAGGCATTCTAAAGTAACATTGAAAGTTTTATATACATTTTATAGGCACCAGTCAGTCTTTAGTGAAGTGACATAGTTTATGGTTTTGCTGTTATAACATGGTGTGTAGTTAAAGTACTTTCTAACATTTCAATTTTCAACATTATAGTATAATTTCTCAATGTGTCTTCTCATTACATTTTTTTTGTGTGTGCATCCAATCTTTTCTGGGAAAAAAAATTCAAAAATACAGATCTCATGCCATCAAAAGACTAGACCTGTAATTTTTGGGCAAGTGTGTCATTTAAAAAAAAAAAATTATACCAGGATTTTAAGAAAACTTGTCAGGATAACTAATATAAGACATGACCATTTTTTTGTAATATTGATCTATTTACATTCCCAAAATGTGGAGGCTAAATCCTTACGGTTTTGTGCACATACTGTAACACCACAACCACGAACTTTACTTTAAAAATCCACTGCAGGTATTAATTTCGCAAATATCCAAATCAAACGTAAATAGGTAGATTCATTGCCCTTTACATTTCTTTGTAGCCAAAGATAGAAGAAAATAGTTTTGAGTAATGTGTTTGTTCATAGAAGTAGAGTCTGGTAGAAAGTAAACTGAATTAGCCATCACTCTTGCGCATAATGAGAGACATCACACGTGCCTTGTCCTCATGAGCACATGACTTTCAGGCTTTAGTGCTTCCTCGCTTTCTCTGAGTGGCAGGCAGCGTAGTGCTATTTTTGTATGACCCACATTTCTCATGGACGTCATTTCTATGCGAGTGATGCTCGTTTCTATGATAGCAAATCTAGATTTATGTGTGTTATGTTCCATGTCCATCTGTGTTTGTGCTTCACTGTATGCAAATTAGCACCCAAGTCACCTATCATGCATTCCGCACAGCTGACACCACTAATCACGTGAGGCCTGGCCTGGAGGCTCTCAGTGGAGCAGGAGTGTAAGTGGATATGCAGTGTGAGGAGACTTATGGGGTGTGCTTCAGAGGTGCAGTACAATAGCCACTCACCTGTTCATAAACGCGTTGCTGGATGCCCAGTCAGGATCCTGTAGCGGGACACAGACAAAGTGTTAACACCTACACTGCCCGAATAAGCTACACTACAGTGGGAGGCCAATGAACCACTGAATTTCGAGTTAAAAAAAAAAAAAAAAAAAAAAAAAAAAAAAAAAAAAAAAAAAAAAAAAAAAAAAAAAAAAAAAAAAAAAAAAAAAAAAAAAAAAAAAAAAAAAAAAAAAAAAAAAAAAAAAAAAAAAAAAAAAAAAACACACCTCACAGAACATAAAGTATTTGTATAATTTCCTTTGATCCCTCATTTTTTTAAATAAAGGCCTATAATGGTATAATAGAAATGTTTTGTGTTTAAAAACAGCGCTGAGTAAGGTATAAAGAGAAAGAGCTAGATATTCTCATATTTAGCTGAGGTTTTAAAGTATAGCACAGCAAAGATTACAGTCTCTAAGAGCTGTTGGTGAAAGAATCTGTTCATGCAAACGGAAAGAAATCGACCCTTCTAACTACTCATTAAAAGATTTTCTTCCATTTACGGAGTTAATTTACTAAAAGATTAACAGTGCAGTTTGCTAAGAAAACATAAGCACATTTCAAACACAGCTCTTTTACAGATTTGAAGAGTTTTGTATATTGTTAGAGAAGCTAAAGCAAGGCAGAGGCTTAGAAGAAACTTAAGTAGTGGAGTTGTTGAGAATTCCCAGACAAGCCATAGCAGAGCAGAGCAGAGCATAGTTGCAGAAGGGGTGAGAGACAGAGGGGGCAATGACATTGCAGATGAGGAACAGAGATGAAGAAAAAAAGAAAAATCAACCATCAGTTGAAAAGGTCTCTCAAAGCTTTTGTGTTAGTATCTTTATATTTTGTATTGTAATATTCTCCTCACATCTATAAATTCCTCTGAAAATGGAACAGGGTATATGTAAATTATATACCAATATTATTTATTTATTAATAATATGTGCCTTTTCTTTGTATGTACTGTTTGTGCTGGTGTTATAGTGGGGAACATTATTCACAATCAGCAACGACATTTATTTCATGTAAGACTTCAACCTGAATGTTTCCACATTTATTTTTAAGTCCACTGTTGCACTTGTTAAATTGACCTGATTTTCTTTACTGGACAAGTCATTTGTTGTTTACATTACTGAAACCGAATTTGCCTATCGCTAACCTATTTGTTTAGTAGAAACTGCCTTTAACTTGATACCTAAATTCTGACCTATATTGTTAATGTAAGGTTAATCCAGAGTATAAGTGAAATATAATTAAATAAAGACAATACAAAACAGATGTGACATGGCACTTTTAATTATACACATCACTTAAAAAGTACAAAAGCCAAGTACAAATAATCCCCAAATGCAATATAAATATCTTACAATACTTTAATACTGTTTAACCCCTGTGCTTCAACTTTTGGGCTGAGCTATAAACCTCAAATAAACCGTAGTAAATGACAAAAACACACAAGACCAGCATTGTAAAGAACCTGGTAGACATATAGACACCCAATGCATAAAGCAGTTTGATTCAACCGAACTAATAATCCGCTTTCCAGCATTAAAGGGTATTTTCT